CTCATGGAAGCAGGGGGAGCAGGTCCTCGGGCAGGGACACAGAAAGAATCTCGGGGAATCTGCCGAGTGGGGGTTTGCAGAAGGCACGGTGGGAGGTTTGGAGAGGAGGAAGATGGCCAGGGGCAGGCTCAGGGCCACGGAAGAACAGAGCATCCCTGTGGGCCGATGGTCTGCTCAAAGATAGATGGCACCTATGCACTGTTGGGGAGGGTGTATTTGGGACCCAGACTGATAGACACGAGGATGAGAACCTAAATGATGGATTGAGCTCCAGCATCTTCCTTGGGGCTGCTTTCCATTCTGATTATACATATCCATTCCCTCAACGATATTTATTTACCACCTACTAATAGTGCCAGCGCTATTCAAGGCACTTGGACATATCAGATACCCAGTCCCTCCCCTTGTGGAGGGGAGACAGATAATAAGTAATAAACATAATAAATACTTTACAAGGAGTATGTGAGTACTATGCAGGATGAAGGGTTGGAAGTGGAGGTGGGGGAACAGGTTGCAAGTTGAAATACAGTATTAAGATGGGGAGAGTATAGCTCAGTGATAGAGCACGTGCTTTTAACACGCACGCGGTCCCATGTTCAATCCCCAGTACTTCCATTAAAAACATAAATAAATAAATATAATTACCTCCCCTCAAAGTAAAAAAATCAGAATTAAAGAGTTTTTAAAAAAGAAGTGATTCAAAAAATATACAGTATTAAGGCTAGGCCTCCCTGAGAAGGTGCCAACTGAGCGAATTGAAGGAATAAGGGAGCAATTGACTTGGATAGCCAGGGAAAAGCATTCCTGAAAGCGGGAACAGCCAGTGCAAAACCCTACAGCAGGAGAAGAGCGAGAGCAGAGTCACCAGTGGGGAAATCAGAAAGGAAACGGGCGTGGAGCCCAGATCGGGGGGTCTTGAGAGGCATGGAGAGCTGGCAGAGGGGTTGAGCTGTAGAGTCACATGACCAGATCCATGTCTTCAAAGGCTCGCTCTGGCTGCTCCACTGGAACTAGAATGGAAGGAGACAAGAGGGTGGCAGCAGTGGAGGTGACAAGGAGTCAGGTTTTGAGTCTGCTGGCTTGCAGCTTTACTGACTCTCTGTCTCCATTAGTTTGTATCTACATCTGCCTTGTTCTCCACTGTCTCCCGCACCTAGGTGACCCCTAAAGGTCAGTGTCCTGGGGAGGCTGCCAGCATTCATTCATTCATCCATTCATTTATTTTCACTTTACAAATATTTATGAGTACCTACTATGTGCCAGGCACTGTACTGGATACTTAATACACATTATTCAATTTAATCTTCCAAGTGCCTAAGAGATGGAAAATGTTGGCCCCTCCACTCACCTGGCTTTATAGACAAGAGAAGGAATATTCAGAGATTAAAGTGACTCCCTCAGGGTGAGTGAGGTAGTACATTATCCACTGGGATTCACCTCCAGGCTTGTCTGGCTCCAAAGAGATCTGCTTGAAGGACAGCGATCATTTGGGTTCTAGACCGTCAGAACCAGTCTTGGTATTAACAGTCACATGGGGAACCTCCTTTAATCTGCGTCGACCTCTCCGGACTCAGGTTCAGCATAGCATCTTCTTCAAAGAAACAGTCCAAGGGGGTGAGGGTGTAGCTCAAGTGGTAGAGCACATGCTTAGCATGCACGAGGTCCTCAGCTCAATCCCCAGTACCTCTTCTAAAAGTAAACAAATAAATAAACCTAATTCTCAAAGAACAAGAAACACAGTCCAACACCCTGCATAACTTGAAGCCTTCTTTGTGCCTTTTAAAGAACAGTAAATGGGACCAAGCTTGTCACTCAGGGCAGCCCTTCTTAAAAAACATCTTTCCTGCCCTCCCCCCAAGCCTGGCCTATTCTCTCCGTGGCTGCTCTAAGGTCTAGCAGCCCTGCCAGTCTGCCCTTTCTGTTTTCTCTCTCCTCACCAGCCCATTTTCCAGATTTTGCATCCCTTAAGTCAAGGACCTGGGCAAAGGCAGGTGGGCTGGCCAATTGGGAAGGAGGTGAAGTGGGTAAACACCTAGAAATTGTTGACCCTGACACCTCAGACCTGCTCACACCACACTGTTCCCTGAGGTTGAGCCTGGCTTCTCCCCCCACCCTAGGGACAATGCTGGTGGCTTCCTAGGTCTCTCCTGGGTGTTTCCTGTGGCCGGAAGCCCCTGGAGGCCTGGGGTGGGATGGCTGGAGGGAGGATACGCAGCAGACTTGCTCTGGTCCCCATCTCTCACAGGGATGCCCCTGGCTTCCTCCAGGAGAAAGTCCCACACACACCCATGGTACCCGCTGTCCTCCGGGCACCTCGCAGTCATGTGCAAAACCAAACGCATCTCTCTGAGGCCTCAATGTCCTCATCTGCAGAACAAGACACTTTATAAGGTGGTGAGAATTAAATGAGATAA